AACCGAAGAGAGCTGACGTAACGGAGGCTGACGAGCTAACGCTGATGGTGCAGATGACCGAGATACCTTTGGTCTCCCTCATTCTCTACTACTTTTCGTCAGACCTCCACCAAACGCTTGCCCACGAAGATATCCTTAACCGCCTACCCCATATTGAATACCGTTGTTTGAGCTCTTATACTCTTTTCCACCAAAATGCTCCGGCGCTTTCTTCCGGCTGACCTTTGCATCGAACCGCCAATTATGTGCATCTAAAATTCCAATATGCGGCTTGCATATACATTCTTTTGACTGCCTTTGGTTTCAGATTCACTCTGGTTGGAGCTATCCTCCCACCTCACCTAAACAAAACTATTACAGTGTCTAGGTGAGGTGGGAGGATGGCTCCAACCACTTTCTTTTTGCAACTCGGCCTTCTGCTGACGTGGAGGCCGACGGGCTCCCTAATGCTGCTTTTGTGCATGCTGAAGGCTTGGACAACGTTTGTCCCCCTTTGTCCTGGAAGCTTGCAAATGCACATAACTCAAATTGTTTTAAGAGCCTGTGGCTTGAGTTGCGTCCGTCAAACAGTACGTAGGGGATATTATGTGGAACCATCGACGCAAACTGGCAATGTAGCATTTAAGCATACAGGCTCCAGCTGACACACATAACCGGCTGTTCGTATTCGGAAAGGCTGCATGACTATTTCTTCATTAAACTGACCCTTTAGTCTCTCATTCAGTTGCAGGACTCTGGAGATATTCAACAGGCACCACTGAAAATTTAGGCTCTTCACCAGTGGCCGTTCTGGCCCGGATCATAATGGCGTAGAACAGCTAGCGTCTATGTGTTGTCAAAAAGGTCCGCTGCAAGCGCATTGATAAGCTGTGGGTACGGTCATTTCCAAAATGGTATTTTCTGAATTGCACCCAGTGGAAGATGTCTTTGCGGGTAACGCGGTTCATGAAGCATGGCTCAACTTCCGTTGCCTTTCCAGATCAAGCTGTCGCTGTGATACAGGGGCAGTGGAGGAGTTTATCAGTTATCTGGCGCTATAATTCAACCTCCAACTGGCTCAAACAGAGCTACAGTTGCTATTGGCACTTGAGTTGCTAGAAGGGGTGGCACAACAACCGTGGTAGTATGTGAGCAAGTGCCATACATTGCCGCATCGCGTTCGTCGTATTGAAGCGTTCAAATATGCCCTTTGGTGTAGGCATATTTCCAGGCCGGCAGAGAACAGTACAGGAACGGGTGAGAGAGTTGATGAAGTCTAAGCAACTGCAGGCATGTGCGCAATGCGGTGCGGTTCATCGAGATGCGTCAGACACTGGTGAACATGAGTCCGACGGTGTAACCTATCTAGCAATGATTTATAGCGTGACGTTGGCCCGAATAATTGTACCAAGAGTGTAAATACTGGCTTATTTCACAAGAGGTTGGCGGTACCAAGAAACAGGAGAGCTGGATATTTATGTTGGACCAATTCACCACGATATAGTCCTACGGATGTCGTTGGGAACCAGTGGAGGGCGACGATGAAGCCCCCTCGACACATTATCGAGGTGCATGTGCCAGGAAACGATGAGAAACCGCAGATATGAGTGTTTCCAAGTGCTATTGATTCCTCAGTGATAAGCGTTGGAGCAGTGCGAAGCGGTTAGGAAATGCGCTTGCTAGCGCTCTCAACGGCATTTGCCGAAGGAGTGTGGACAAAGCTCCCAATAGATTTAACGCTGGCTCTACCATTACCGGCTGCCGTAGCATCTTCGTCTTCGTCGACAGATTCACCAAGCAAACCAGAGCAAATGACCTAATTGATCATTAATCAAGTCTGGAAGCGCAAACAATGTTCGTTAGCGCCTTCTGATGTGAATTTATGGATTGGCTTAGTCCCAAAGACCGCAAGACCACCACAAACCCGCTGGAGGCAGACTGTCAAATTGAACAAACCAACTGGACACTACCGCAATATCTGCAACTTTACACCCGGGAAAATTCATCGGGACACCTTAATTGTCTTTCTTGTGCCGCGTGGATTTGTAATACAACAGTTCGCTATCCCACCCGATACTCCCTGGCATCGTACGTCCACATTGAAGCCCTGCTGCCTGGCCCGATGTTCGGCCCGGTTTTTGAAAGCCAGCCGCATAGGCGAGAAGTCTGCAGCTTCTATACACAGCTTGTAACGACACAGGAATGCATGAAGAAATCAAACGAGTGCCATACAAGGAACTGGCGTTTGTGTGAAAGGCCAACACTGTTTTTTGCTGGCTGTCTATGCACGTTGCACTTATGAGATTCAACTGCTTAGTTCGTACCACCGCTGATCCATCATAAATAAGAAGAACAAGCTTTCGGTGTCCTGACTGTTGCATCAATATTAAAAGCTTCAGACAGACTGAACTGTATGCAGGAGGAGTTCTAAACCGTACCAATGTTTAGTTTTATTCCTTTGTGCTTCCTTCTCAGGAACGTCGTGCGCAAGCCATATGGCAACGGCTTGACTACCCGAGTCTCTATAAGGAGTGCATTTCCTCAATATTCCTTTCTTAGGTTGGATAATATTGGATCGCGCCTGCGACTAGCATATTTATCTTTCTGCTCGATGGTCATTGGTGATACTGTGAGAAGAAGGGAAGATCCGGCAAAAAGTACCTTGCCTAATAATACCTATGAAAACAGTAGAGTTGATGGGTATCGGGGTTGCAGAAAATACTGGCAGCTAAAGCAAGTGTTTGACTCTGCATTGTTGACGGAGAAACCAAGTCTGGCTGTGGCTCACCGTTAACCATATCATCAGCGTAGCTTTCTGGCGTATCTTAGCCCGGGAAATTCAAATTTGCGACACTTTTTTCATGGAGATGGAGGGGAAAGGTCCAGTCAGTTCCCACAATGCAGTGAACTCATGCACCTCCTTGTTGAACCGGTTGGTGGCTCTGATGGGGATGTACGCTGCTGACCTGCTTTGTATTCGCATGTGCAACCCATAAGGAGTAAGGTATTACTCACCCCAGTCTGGGCCCCAAACTTATTCTAGCCAAAAATTTAATTTTGATGTGTAATGACGCCTGTTCGCACCCAACTTAGAGTATGATTTCCCAATAGAACCGTATCCTGCCCATCTCTCAAAGGAGACGCCCAAGGTGTAGGCATACTGCTCATTGTTCTTCCTTTTTTGACTACAGAAAAACTTTAACAAGCATTACCTAATATATAAATGTCTAAGCTGGAAAGTGAAGCTAGCAGAATCAAGCCAGACTCTTGATAAGGGCAAGTGCATTACGGGGGTCGCACTATTGCTACACCAGTGGTCTATTGCCTACAACTCAGCGGCAAAATTACAGTTCAGACAACACAGTATCACAATAAAGAGGCAGAATTCAAGACGTAGTGCAAATTTAAATTGACTTTCTTCGGATGAATAGTTCCCACCAATATCTGCCCCACGCGAATACACTACTGCCGAGAGAGGCATCCACACTTCTGCAGAATCCCATTGGGGAAGCCATTTTCCTACTATTTATGAGGAGAGCAAATTCATATACCGGAATGCGCATATGCTGTGGGTATATCTGTTTTCAGTTGGTCTGCGGACGAGGTCACTCAAGCCATACAAAATGCAAGGGCATGAAGGGCGTTGCGGGCGTTTGAGCAGCATGCTACTGTTTCCCACGAACTCCCACTAATTCGGACCACCTTCCATTACTGTTGCATGTCTGACTTACTTAATATTTAAGTCTGCATTGGTGCCAGGTGCCCCTTATACAGCAGTGCGCTAATATGTAAAACTACACTGAACCAACTGAGCTGGTTGCGCCATCCCCTTGGCACTCAGCTTGTTTGTTGATCGGGTCCTACTACGAGCTGAGTACGAGTCAAATTTAAGGGAAATATATACCAGGGACAAATTAGCCATCACATTTCAGAACAGGTTTAGATCTTCGTGACAGTCGCCCATCTATTTTAGGCTGGAAAAGCAACAGCAACAATGATGAAAGGAGTGGCTAAATCAAGCGAAGCATTTACGCACACAGTGCCCCTGTCAACAACTTCTGTGGGAAACGCAACGTCAAGACGTTCCGTCGCACCACTTTATCGGCGAAAAATGAAAGGTATCCCAGCACTTCACTGGACAACTGTACATTCACCATTTGGAAATAGAGATCGCAGCGGTAAAAAGTCATTTTCAGCAACGTCACGCCAGCCAGCCCCATCTGCGTACTACAATCGAGTCTCACAAACCAAGTTTCTTTCTGCGGGCCTCTTTGACCCGACATTCAAAAAGGATCAGTTAGAATCGGATGAGAGAAAAAGAGACCTGCAACGGAGGAGGAGATTACGAGAAAACGCAGATTCTTCAGTTAGCTTGAGAGAGAAGGTGTCGAGGAATTTCCTCGTTACCCATGCCCAACATTCACAGAGTACAGGCGACCTTTCAAACGTAAACCGCGGAGAGGTTCCGCCACCAAAGCATAGATGGAAAAGAGAAACTTCCCTCTCTGAGCTGCTGCTTGCTGGCCCAACATTCCGTGAGACTATAACACATGAGTTGGAGGGTCAGAGACCAACTAACGTGCGTAGGTGCAGCTTCACCTATTCTCCTCAACAGCCCCCTGAGATCCAGAACAAATTGAAAATATACAACGTGGATTGTACATTTCGAGAACATTTTGACGGGCAAACGGTTCTGAAAGAGCGTAAGAAGACGCATACTTTGCGGTCAACCAAACAGAACAAACTGGTTGCTCGAATTCAGAACCGGCCGGCTGAAGCAGAAGGCACCAGATCGAAAGAAGCGAGACCGGCAGCCGTTCAAGTGGCTGATAACTCTCCGAGGGGTTGCGTGAAAGTAGCACCTGGAAGGAAGCGTTCCGGGCGGGCAGGACCCCTAAAACCGCTATATGTCGCGCCTGTCGGCGACGTATGCATCGCTGATAACGGTGCTAATCTACATAGTTTAAGGTTGTACCCATGGAACGCTCTACAGGCGGTGCCTGACCCGGATCTAGTAACTGTAGCCACGCTTCCTCACTACGACCAATCTTTTGGTCGGCCGAACACTCCAGCAAACCCGCCTCCTGGCTTTCACGGGGAAATGGGCTCCCCCACACTTAGCAGTGAATCCATTCACCTGCTGAATGGTACGATTGACAGTGTTAATGAACTAAAGCAAAAGGTTGCTGCAGCCGTTGTCCCCGAAGCAATCAAGTCAGCACTGCCCAGCATGCTAGGAGGTAACACTGCGAAGGGACAGCTTTTGCTTGAAGCTGTGGTAATCGAATTAGCAGACGCTTTAAGGAGAGGACCACCTGACGGCACAGAAAAGGGGAGGACCTACTTGTTGTCATTTTTGCAGCAGCAGAGAGGACGACCACTCCGCAGAAAGACTGTGCTTCGACTGCTCAAACGTGTCCAACAAAGGCTTTGCCAAAATTCAAACTGTACTTCGGCTGATCCCTCAGGAGATATTCTTGCCTCTGGGAAGCGATCCACACGATGTTATAAAACGTCTCGAAAGCGCTGGCCAAAGGAAACACTATGCACCGCCCAGTTCCATGTTGAATTGGACACAAACCACGCAAATTCGAAGTTGGACTCATCGGTTGCTAAGCCAAGCAAGCAAGATCAGCCCTCCCTGCCGGACGCGCATGCTCTTTGTACGTTTTTAAAAGTTGGTGCAAACGACATTCAGCAGGAACCAACAATTTTACTTGCTGAGGAAACCAACAACTACCTTCAGGTGCAGCAGCACTATATAATGAAAACACAAAAGCCGTGCACACAAAAATGCGTGCCAATAGGTTTAAAGAGCATCGATCTCTTCCACGCGTTGCTAGAAAACAACACTATTCAAATGCTTGCAGGACCATGCACATAGAAGGCCAACCTGCTCTGGTCCCACCGGTTGTTTCAGCAGTGGAAGAAGCACCAGCTCCCAAAAAGCCAGGCGAATTTTCCCCATGGCAACATTTGCTGACTGCGGCCTTTCATTCTCTGCAGGAAGATCCAAAACACCAGAGCAACTGTACATCACTTACTGTTGACTGCTTGGAGGGCAGCACGGATGTTCTCCAAGTGGGCATCGCGCGGTCTCAACATGCTGACAATTGTAAGGAAAATATGCATTTAGAGCAGCATGGTAGCCTCTTAGAGCAAAGGACCTCTGACTTTTGGGACTGTCTAATGCGTGTCCAAGAGGCGGAGTACCACGCCTCAGTGACTCTGCAAAATATCGAAAATCTACCCTACTCAGGTACTTTGCGGAGACAATCGGCAGTGTCAGAAGTTAGACTAGGCATACAAAAAGTGGGAATAGGAGGAGAGACTGCGCCATACCGTGGACTCTTCATGAGTTCTCCGGATACGAGGAGAACAATCGAACCGGTTACAAGTGCTGACACTGAGGCAAGGCAATTAATAGCGGAACGTTCATACCCTACTGTCATGCTTTCACCTGTAGTGGAGGAGAAGTTACTGGCTTTTCGAGAGTCAAGGAAAAGAGCGCAGCTAAAGGACGAGCCCCTTTTGCAGCAAGAAAGCCTTCAACAAGCCTTGATTCAGCTGAAAGAAGCGAGTGGAGGACGCATTTGTTTTGAATACGAGGTCGCAGGCGTTTGGATGTTGCATGATGCCATTGTTGAACAATTGCTCGATCGCGAAGTGAAGCAATTAGTGGCTTGCGCTGACTCTGCCACACGAAGGTTTGTGGACAGCTTACTTGAAACCGAAGCAATCCGAATGGCAGGGCTTGTAAGACCATAGAGAAATTAGCAGCCAGCAAACAGTTTTAGTGGATCATGTTGAAATGGCTGTTGTATCATTTAAATCGATCTGCAATCATCCGTCCCGTGCATGCCGATTTGCCGTTGCCAGCTGTTGCACGCTGTGTAACACACACGTTACACCAGCTGCATTTATACGCGTTTGCAATTGACAAGTAGTGGGCCGCTGCGCCCCTTATGTAGTTGAAATGGTGTACACTAGGATAAGCAGATGCTACTAAGGTATGCATCCCAAATTTACTGCCGCAGAATGCAGAAAGGCCTCACCTCACAGTAGTTTGTGCATGTGAGTGTACATGCTGCCAGACTGGACTCTGGTAGCCAAGAAGGTGTTACACAATTTTCTGCAGTGTTCAGCCTTCTGTCGAAATTGGGCATGCGTGTGTTTCCCCCTGGGAATTATTCGCAGAAGGCTCAAAATACTTTAGAAAAGAGTTCCCAAAGACTCACTTTTCATGCATGGACTAGCACCGTGGACAACTGTAGGAAGCCTCCGTTGCGTAAATCAGTGGCACTTTTTTCCCGTCTCGAGGCTTTGTCGGCACAACAGTATATATCTCTATGGGTCGAAAAGGAAATGGTATGTCATGAGTTGCAGTGCACCTGACTCCAGCTCCTGCAACAGCGCAGCCCCTGGCACACCAAGTGGAAGGCTTGAAGGTGGCTAGCTCCTTCCCTTCTAATAAATAAAACTACCAACACAGGGAAAGGGGCAAGAAACATCTGCCAATTGTGCATATACTCTTTTGTTGCTGCTGCCCATCTCAACGTGCTGCGGCACAACAGCACCTTAGCGTGGACAGTTGTCACTACGCCGCTCTTTGTCTTTCACCAATTGGGAAACATTCCTACGGTGATGGCTTTCCACCCTAAGTAGGTCTCCCTGGAGCGAAGAGTTAACGACCTAGCGCGGCGGTAAATGAGCGAGTGGATGGCAGGCAGCAACAGGTAGAGACAGAATAGAGAATAGATAACGAGGGGAAAATAATTAGTCCAAGTGAGTGCATAAGTATAAAGATATTTGCTCCCTTTTATAATTGAACATGCCCCCGTAGATTGCTTTGAGCCCCACAAAGCAATCTGCGGTGTGCGTGCTCAACCTTGTGTTCGCCCGTACTGAGTCAAGAAAGGCTTGTAGGCCACCCTGATGAATTTCTTCACACAAACAGTCTTAACTAACCGAGTCGAATTATCGGTGGTTATCGAAAGCCATGCTCGTGCCTTCTACGAAGTCTACGAGCCGTTACATGTGCCTCCTGGGCGTCAGTCCAAACCCCTCTCTCATTCCTGGAGTGCTGCTGTTACCTTTTCCTTAAAGATTTCGAGAAAAGTTCGGTCACTTCGTTAGGCACTTAGAAACGCTCAAGTCAGCCTTTGGGCGGCTTCTCCGTGTTGGGGTGTGCGCAGTATTGGTTGTTGGCTTTGAAGCGCTCCCTGCTTGAGCAGAGCCAAAAGTGTCCTTTGGTAGTCATATTGGGACTCCCTTCTTTCGCATTCATTCCCCTATTGCCTGTGTAAGGGCCATGTAGAGGCATTCTGTAGCGTCATGTACTGTCTATTCAGAACATTGCTACAAGAGGGCTCAGGAGCTTGGTTGGAGCCCTAACAAGCGTGGATATCATTATGCCGATATCTGTGACATGGTGTAATATATCCAAGGTCGTCAGCAAAGCCCCAGCCGTCTATGCCAGGTTGGCAGGCTAGAAGGCAGCCGGATAAAGAAAATGGCTGCCAGCAGCTGATATGTTCCTGTATATATTCATTAAGATGTACAGGGGGCAATACATTCTGTAGAAAGGGACCGATTAGCATTGCGGCTCCGATGCTCCGTGGTGACCCATCTCATGGGCAGCAAACATATTCCAGCACAGCATCCTGTACTGGTAGCTCCTTCTGAATCCCTTTTACTAAACCTAGGAGCCAAATGCCTAACGGCGAACTTGTGCCGGAGAATGTTTCACACAGCCCTGCGCCAACAAAGTGTCATTGTTGATGTCTAGCCACACAGGGAAGACTTCGCCAGCAAACGGCCACCGTACTCCTTTTTGTTCCGGGGCTGAGAAAGACGGACAGGAGAGGAGCTGCACCTTCTGGCGTTTACTGCCCAATAGCAGGAGGGGAACGCACACAGGAGGCATGCCGCGGGGAGCTCGGCGTAGATACGCAGATACCTTCTGTGGAAGGCGTTTGCTGCCCAATAGCAGCTTAAGGGGCATGGAGGGGAACGCACACAGGAGGCATGCCGCGGGGAGCTCGGCATAAATACGCAGATACCTTCGCCTGCCATTCCGTCACAACCCCAACCAGTGTTCCTCTAAATGATCAGAAGGAGTTTCCCCTGACGGTTACAGTTACACAAGGAATAGATGTAACTTAGATATCCAAAGAAGCCTTTGACCCACAAACTTGTGTTGTTGATAAGATCGACATACCAACCCCAGGAACGCTTTTACGCCCAGCTATTCGTGTTCTGGGGTTGGCTTGTCGTTTCATCCTCGGCGTAGAGGAGGAAAAATGACCTTGCATAGTTCGCGTCAGAAGGTATATAGGGGGCAGAATGAACTTGAATAGTTTGGGTCAGAAAGCTGGGACGGCGCAGCTAGTCACTATTTTCAGTGTCACGTAAATATTTAGTGAATATCAAGACAGAGCTTAATATGTCTTGCCGTCGTCATGTGCTTTATTATGTACTTTAAGAGCTCCATCGCCTAAGGCACCCACGACTGTTTCCTCTACTGCAAGGCGAGCCGCCACCCGGAACTTATGATCTTCAATTTGCTCGTCCCTTCGTTGACACTGGCTTGCAAGGCTTGGCATAAGGAGACCCCTAACAAGCTCCCCTACAATGATCTGTGGTTCTTCTTGACCCTCTTGCAAATCATCAACAACACTTCCCAAATGCTCGGAATGCAGACAAACCTCCAAAAGAGCCTGCAAAGGCAATATCACCAGTTGGAACTTCAAAGTCCCTTTGTCTGTCTTGGACGCATCTGTATTCCTTACTGTAGGCACAGACTTGGAGCTACAAATATCTTCTCAATTACGACGTTAGCAACGCCCTTAGAAAGCTTCATCCTCACCTCTTCTTGTGCATTTCCTGCCCCAGCCTTTTCAATAATAGCTTGAAGGTAAGAATCGATTGTTTGATTGTTGATGCCCATTGCATTCTGAAACGCCAGATTCTCCCTTTCTCGAAGCATTTCCTCGGCTTGTCGAGTTCCTGACTCCTGTGCCTCCCGTAGGCGTCTCTCCCGCACAGCCAAATGAGCAAGGGCCGAAATGCGCTGCACTTCCTCCATGCGCCTTTGTTCCTTTGCCAGCTCGTCAAGCATCTGCCAAACATGCAGGCAGATTTCCCCGTGCAAAATATTGTTCGACGATTGAAGAATAGAGTGACGTTGCTTGGTTTGGGGCTGGAAAATGTCTACGGCGAAGGTCACTCTGGACTCACTTCAGCTATAGCCATGCCTTGAGCCGAAGCCATTAGGACCTCAGCTGCCTCCAACGCTGTCTGCTCATCCACTGCGTCTGCTTGCTGTCTTGGGGGCACATCCTGCAGCTGCTCCGCAGCTCGAAGCATATTTACGAGATCGAGATTCTTTTCCTTTCCCTTGAACATTAAATGACGCCTAGTAGCTGCACGCAGCAATTGCTGCAGAAGTAGCACAGCCTTGGCATCAAGCTCCTCTTCCATTGGCACCTAGGGAGAACCGAAACACACACTTAGCTCACACCTAACAGCCTAGGTCCTGCCATTACTCCTCGGCGGGTTAAGGGAGTTCTTCAGCTTGGTTCGTTTGCAAGGAGTCTTCTTTTATGTGAGCTGGGAGTGTAATCTCGTTCTTCCTGTATGCATATGTTTTTGGAATTACCTCGGGTACTCGGGGCGTCTCAGGTCGAGTTCGAACAGCCCGTTTTACTAGTCGGCGAGCTGCAACTGAACTCCCTTCTGAAGCGGAGAACGCCGGAGGGGCAGCTGCCAGGTCAATCTGTAGCTGCAGGGATGTCCCAGTAAGTAACTCGGCTGCCACTTCTCTCTGCAGAGTCGCTGCTGTGCGCTCCAAAGCCTATAGATCATTCGCAATGCCTGCCGAATACAACCCTTCCTAGGAGCGATGGATTTGAAGTTGTGAACTACTGATGCCACAACGCAGCCGTACTGCCTCACTCACTAATGTAGGTTTTGGTTATCCCCCTGAAACCAACCTTATTGTTGTCGAGAAACCGAGAAAGGCCAACTTGCCTTGGAGTGAGCCAACTCTTTGCGACTGGCAGCGTGTGTCTTTCTTTGCCGCAGAAGAGGCGGCGTCTTCGCAGTTATAGAAGTTAAGCTGTTGCAGAGCCGCTCTTCCATGGCGTCTAGGGCTAAAAAGTCCTGATATCAGTATCATTACAGTAAGAAGGTTGTCGAATCTATACTATGCACCTTTTGCCGATGCTTTGATCAAGATATGTCAGTTGGTGCTCAAAAGGTACTCGACTGACTGCCCGTAGCACAACGCTGAAGCAGCCTTTGTCCACAGGTAGGGAAGGACCAGTTGTAAGTCGTGAAGGTGCGTGCCTCTGCGTATGCTAAATGAGTTGCGGAGAGAGCCGTAAAGGGGTCGGGAGGGCAATAACCATCCCTCGCAGCCGGAACGACGCATTGAAAATTTGGGCTGCTCCTTAGCTTGTTAGCAGCGCACAATGGCCTTGCCAGAGACTGGGTAATTTGTCTGCGTTTAAGCCAAAGGCGGCGGAGTCCCTCCAAACGTGAGCGTTCAATCATCAAATGCCTGCGTTGCATGCGTTCCTTTAAGATCTTCTGCCGTCGTCTGTGAGCTGCCTCGCTCTTGGTCTTCATTTTGGCCGCACGCATTCTCAGGGCAACTTCCACAAGACGAAGGCGTTCCTCCTGCACAAAATGACTGCTTGTATCTTCATCGGAAGGTGCCCGTCTGGACTTAGAAACATCAAGCTTGGGGACTCTTGGAGTTCGTATGAAACTCTCAGGGGACCTCATCCAGTGACAGGTCCTCCTCCAGTAAGTTGACTTACTGAAAGTGTTACAAATTTTAGGTATTGTGTTTTTATGCCTTGCTAGCATTTACCTGCAACTCACGAATGTCCCGTTCTCTTTGAGCCCACTTTAAAAGCTCTTGGCGCTCCATTAAGGCTGTGCGGATTGCCAGACAGAACTCATCGGTCGGGGGTGGAAGCACTAAATCAAGCCGTCTCTGCAGCTGCATTTCTTGAATAGCTCGGATTTCTCGAGTTGTTGCAGGAAGGCCACTTGACCAGCACAGCTGTGATAACGCCAATTCTTCAGGTTGAGGCCCATCCGCGCAAACATACGGGGGGGAATAAGGATCCGTTTGTGCATCCTGTTCTCTGGTAATCGACTGCAGAGCAATGGATTTAGCACTGAAGCCTTCGCATCCTGTCCCTCAGACAAACCAACAACGAACAGCCTAATGTACAATTTGGGAAGTTGCTAAACACTTTTTTATGGGTCATGTGTGGCAATCCAACTGCTATAGCGAAGTAGAGAAGAGTGTGAAAAGACTCTTGCTTATTCAGACTTGCCGCAGCCTATTTCTTCTTCATTCATTGTCGCTGTATTCCTATTCATTGAAGCCTGGGGGGGACAGTTTTCATTGTCACTGGGCAGATTCGTAAAAGCGCTTATCCAGTTAGGGTAGGACTGGGGCCTGTATTTGAAAAACTTGAATCTGTTAGGGCCACAAATACTTTCTGCCACTTGTTTGAAGACATTTCGTCGGGCTTCGTCGAATTCTCCGATGATGCTTGCATCATCGGTTCTACGTATAATAAACTCTGCAATTCTACAGCCCCCCGTAGCACACCGAAATGAGTTAGGTGTATGCACAATGGGCCGCAGCACCAGGGACGCTCTAGTTTTCCCAATATGGTGAGAAGAAAGGTCGTAGGGTTCATATTTGTCTCTGCCTTCCTCCAGAGGCATAATACCTAGAGTTGTTGCTGTACTCATGTTGCGTCAATTTTTGCTTTTTCCTTCTCGGCATAAATTCGTGACTAGCTGACTAGAAACTCGTCCTTCAACAAACGAGTTGGTATAAAGAAGTTTTCTAATACGGCGCAGGTAGAGAGAGTAGAGCGTTGGTGGCCAGGCCTAGGATGCCAAAGAGACAATAGCCGGTAGGGTTCGGCACAAATTGCTGACTAGCTGACTATGAATTCTTCATTCAACAAACGAGTTGCTATATAGAAATTTTCTAATCCGGCACAGGTAGAGAGAGTAGAGCGTTGGTCGGCAGGCCTAGGATGCCAAAGAGACAGAAGGCGGCAGGACCATCATTGTCTCACAACCTTTTACAGCTTACTGCGGCACCTATAAATCGTCTTACGGAAGTATTGAGCGCAATCGCTCACCCAGTAACCAACTGGGTTTTGCATGCACGGCTACCCGGAGCCCCAGAAAATATATTATATACTTTAAACATAGCTAGGATTTGGCAACATCGACCACCGATACTCAAATGCTACGGTAGGGACGAAATTTTTCATTTCCTTGCACAATCGCAGTTTGTAGAGTGACTTTAAGGACCACTGGTGTCTGTGGCATGTGGATCTTTTGCCCAGAGAGCGCTGCACTCCAGCAGTCCACGAGCCAGCGCACCTGGAATGTAGTTTATCTGGAGTGCTCAGCAAATTCGTAGAAAACACAAAAGAGAGTGTCTTAGGACAATTTTGTTGGAACTCGTGACTCATAGTATAAATCCGCACTAGCCTGGTGGAAAGGCGCCGAGAAGAGAGTTTGGGGCTGAAGGATACTGGTCCTACAACACGGGAGTGCCACCGCTAGAGAAACTCGGCATGCAGTGCATTAGAAGCCTCAAACTGTCCTGCCTGCGGCACTTAGGCTTTCTACGCTGCGAGTTCAGACTAATGCTTGGTATACCAAGAGTGTCAGGAAAAAGCATAGCCAGCAATACAAAGCATCATAGCGGATGCGTTAACAAAACTGGAGGTTAAAGAATTTCAGGCTGCCTATATGCTGGAATTCGGTGTAGCTTCTCTTGTTTTTCGTTAGTTTTCAAGGTATCTCGTAGGGAAATGCAATAGCGGTGAGCCAGATGACTCATAAACGCAAGGGAGCACGACACGAGACATCAGCATTTCTAGTTCAATTCCGCACTGCACTACAGCATATCGTATTCTTATAAGGCCTGAATTGTAGAAGGACGGCGTAATTATCATTTATAAATAACAGGGTGTTCAAGTTGGATGTACTGCAACAGAGGGTGGTGTGGCACTTGACGAGCCGGCCTCTTGCACCCCAGATTAAACGGCCCCACTTCCTGCCACCTGGGATAATTGGGGCAGGATAGGTATCCAGAGCTGTTGAGAAAACTGCCTTTAAAGTACGCTTGTGATTAGATAGCTAATTAGATATACAATATATAGAGAAGCTCACCCAGGTCGTCCTACGCATGCACCCGGGGTACAACGCCCCTGCTTTTAGCAAGGTTGGCAATTACAAGTGCTCAACTGGAGGCAAAGGCCCCTACCTATGAGTGCTCGAAGTGGCAAGTGACCGCCCGGAAGCAGATGGTTGAATTGAATAGGCCAACTCCTCATGCAAGTCCAGTGCTTCTCCCAACAAATACTGTGTGCACACCTCATCCCGGACTGCGCTGAGTTGAACCAGGCCAAGCAGATCAGACAAGAGATGTCTCCTAAGTACACAACGATGTCGTTTGCTGTATGTGTGCAGTATTTGCTGTTCTGTATCGAGTTAAAATCATAAAAATGAATAAGCTTCTTCCTTCCGTAACAGTTCTGCAATACAACGGTGCGTTTGGGTATGCCATGCTGTCTTGCTTCGTTACTCTACCCTGGCATAATATTCTCTGGCCGAATGATAGGCCGGCTTGTTCGCAGCTAGCCCCTTAGCTACAGACTTCTCCAAGCAAAGCTTGCCGGCACGGTACGACAGACGACGCCCAGCGAGTATTCCCAACATGGCAACTTGGTTTCAGTGGGTTCAACATTCCGCCAAAGGGTAGAGACTGGCAGCCAGTACGAGTTTGATATCCATTGAATTGGGCCCCTTACGCGTCGTTTCAGGACTATACGTTGGCTTACACTGCCAGCTAAGCTCCATTGCGGAGATGCCACCGTACCATTAGGGCACGGGGAATCACCAGAACTTCCCAGAACTCCCACCAAAACTTGGCAGCACGGCAGCAACGTCACTGGAAGAAGCACCAACTGAAGGATACCGAGACCTTGTGCACAAAGTAAAACCCCAGAGGCTACAGAGAACAATAGTATTTCCCGAAATTGTTGGAACCCCGAGTAGTAATGCGGTTTTCGAAGGGTCATGTGCGACTAGCAATTTCTGAGGGAAAATGACCATCATTGATAAACCCAGTTGTAGAAACTACAAGGGGAGGCTTGCACAGCGCGGCGTTGGGACCCATATTATATTTCTTCTGCAGCTGCATTGGCATGTGCATCGTGTGACTCAAGCATAAAGAATGAGCATCAAGCCGCCCCTGCAGCAAAACTGGGTTGCTGCTCTGTCTGGGTTGAGTGTTGCCTTGATTATGGGGCTATAGAACCTAATCGAAAATACTCCGTGAGCGGTGTCCAGTGAACAACATCAGAGCAAGAGGGACTTGGTCCTTTCTTTCCCCATTGCGGCCAACATAGACATATCTCTTGTTCAACAACCAGGCATATGAAGAAATGCTCTATATGAAGTTCGTTCGCGCACCTATTTCTATGCACACTGCCACCGACAGACAAGAAACTGCTTAACAATTGGATACAGTCATATTACATGCATCAGAAGGGGCTTGCTTCTGCTCGCACCTGTTATTGCAGTGCAGCAGAAGTGGCAACAAAGTGTGTTATAGCTGGAAACAGGCAGTTTATACCCCTCAACCAAAGCCAGACCCCGGCGCCACTGTGACCAGGGTGAGAGAGCTGGAATGCCGGTCTGCTTATTTTTGGAACTCTTCCTATGTGCTTCGAGTCTATTTCTTTCAGAACGGTCCTTGGCCCAGAGAGACCACCCCTAGTGCCCCAGCGGGTCCTTCCTTGAGCTGTCTTGCAGAGCAAGCAGATTGGCAAGGGAGGATCTTTTTGGTCAGGTCACTTTCCAGCATAAAGATACAACCAGTTTGAACCTGTGCAGCCTTGAACTCGCAACGTGCTAGAGTGGTGTGCTGCACTCCACATGCAACTGCAATGCGCTGAATTATAAGCAACTGCATGCACTGACCAACCTCTAAAACTGTCCAACCTTCTTCCAAATGTCCTAGAAAGTCTATTGAATATTTTAGACTGATTGTCTCAGTCTAAGCACCTGTTGGATACTGCTTGTTGACCGCCCGACCTCCCAGTTGAGAAACTGCAATGAAGAGCGCTGCAAAGAGCTCCCCACGTGAATTGAGACTTGATTCACAATTAAAAGGACACAAAATGGGACACTCAGGACGACGGGGGGAGTGATTAGAGAAGAGCAGCGCCAGGTGACGTGCACCACAGAACAGGGCTACTTGGGAGGCAGTGCGCAAAGGCAGATCGGAGTAGGGGGAGGAAAACAAACTATACATGTGGCGCATGTGTCCAAATACACGGACTTTTCTAACAACTGTGATTTACCCGCTGAAGATGAGTAAATGTTAACCGCTCTTTTCTCGGTCCGCTCGGTGGTGTCGCAGACAGTGGAGGCTCAAGTTTCCTCGTGGAGGCCGTCATGCGCTTCCGTTGCAAGGACACCATTTCCTTGAATATGGTAGATGAGATGAACCTCCAAAAAAAGCGCTTGTTGTGAATATTTGCACTACAATGTTGCCTTTCGCCGTCAGATACACACCGAAAGAAGATAGGGCATCGTGTGCAGTAATGCGACAGCTCTAATGGCACACTGTGCACACCGAAATCGTAATATTGGACTTGCCTTGCAAGAACCAAAGCACTGTCAGTCGTAAAAACTCCCCTCTTGTCAGCAATGTAACAAGCGTGAGGCGCAACTCCAAGTGCGGAATGCTGTCTCTTGCTCGACGAAGACTTCTACAGGAAAACCAGTGCACGCGAAGTCAGGAAACCAGGCTGAATCCCACGGTCCACGCAAGATCAACTGTGATTCGTTGAGAAGAGAATTCATGTAAGAAGAGAATCTGCAAACCTACAATAAGTCATTATGTACGCCCCTTCTGGACAAGTTCGGTCGTCTGTTGCTAGCACTAAATTGCTAAAGCCGAAGGGAATCCCGGCCCTTCATTGGACAATCGTGCACTCACGCTTTGGCAACAGGGATCGCAGCCGCAGTAAGTCGTTTACAGGTTCTTCAGGCTGGCATCCCCTTTCTCCGCACATGGCTCGGGGTCCTTGTTCAGACGTCATACAAACAGGGCTGTTTGATCCGACGTTAAAGCGCAATCAGCTACAGGCTGACGAGAGATCATGGAATGTACAACAGAGGCGAAAATTCCGTAACGATGGGAAGCACCCCAATTCAAGAAAAGGAGAAGATGTTTTAGAAAAATGCCCCGAGGGGAGTCATCCCAACACCATGCTTAATGAAGAACGGGTATGCCGCAACACAGCTACTGAAGGCTCTTCGCAGGACAGTGACAGAAAGGTTTCTCTCGCAAACCTGCTTCTATCACGCCCTACTTTCCGGGAGACCCTCGGACTTGTAGCTCCGCAGTAGCAGTAGCTCCCTTGAAGATTCGACATACTGGATCCACACATAAGCAAGCCTACGCTAAGGTTAGTACTTGACTGGCTTATAAAGCGTGCAAGGACACTTAAGGGAACCGTTTTTACTGTGGGCTTCCTATCCCTCCCAAAGGACGCCCGCAAACGTGAGGGGGAAAGGTATGCATGTAATATTTGAGTAATTGATAAAAAGGAACTGAGAGTGTGGGAGTAGCACACCTGATTACCCACTATATTTTAGGATGTCGTGTTCTCAATTGCTGAGAGTAGTCCACTCCCTCGACGGCTGGAGGCACGTAGTTGCCAGTTAAAAATCCGGAAGACCATAGTTCCCGGACAAGTGGGGCCGGAAAATATAAATGCCTTGACGAACGGAGGACTCGTGTAGAAGTTTCATTCAAACGCGCCGAGAGGTTTCCGCGCCAAAGTCCGGCCCGACAGGTGGTTATCTCGAAATTTGTCACGAATCGGTGGCACCACTGTCTACGCTGAGACTTGCATTGTCCACGAGCTCTAGTTTACCACTGGGAAGTCATCGACTGTACAATTGTCTCAGTGGAGCCCTTAAGTAATGGAAAGGACCTTTTCAAGTATCTCATTAGCAGAGGTTTAGTGAGTGGTATGTCTGCTAGTCCGTTGTGCTACGTTAAAGCGCAAGAACCGAGAAGTTCATTTATGAATACATTGACATAATTAGGCATCTTTAGGTTATATATAGTGGATTTGTGAGTAATTCACACCTACTGTATGCATTGAGGGCATAGTTGGAATATAACGAGGCGAGGGGCCCTGCAGGCGTGACACAGGCCCTGTCCACGACCTCCTCGCCGATCAGCTCATCCTCTACCGTAGTTCCCGGGAGGTCCTCACCTCCGAAACGAACCCTCGCGGCCACTCTAGAGGAGGTATTTCCATGAAAGCGACGGCGCGGGTTGCTACCGAAACAGCTAGACGTTTAGGCGGCTACGAGGCGCAGGACGGGAGTTTTTCTTCTGGTCTTACACCTTGAAAGGAATGTCTCAATTTAGCAACAATACTTTTTATGATATTTGACGGAAACATTCTAGATAACGAGTGGAGGTCGTGCTTGGCTAATCATAGGATAGCTAATTGTAGGATCGAGACACGCGCCGCCGCCTCGAATGAACCCGAGCCACCACAATCCCACTAATGGGCCAATCATGTAACTGGGTCCAAAGAGCCAATCCCGGAGAACGTATCATGCTCGTTTGCATTAAATAAGCTCATAAACTATTCTAGAAAAGGGGTTCTCACCGGGACTGGCCAGCCCAGTGCTCTCACGTCCAGTGGAAAAACAACACAGTGTCTCGCGGAGCGGCTGGCCTGAACGGCCGTTTCGTGGTTCATTCTGGTTCTATAATAAAGTATTATTTTATCTGACAGATTGTATCAGAGTTCGAGCCCTTGTCTCCCAGGCTCAAGGAGGGCTGGTTAACCACTGCGTGTGGTAATGCCGTCTTGGCTCGTGGCCAGGGGTCGAGCCGGGGAACTTTTCCAACTGCTGTGGAATAGCTCATGCTTTCCAAAAGTCTTCTTGAATTTATTAAAAGGACAGATTTGATTATAAAGTGAATGATTTGGGATTCCATTGCACAGTGGGGGAGGATAATCGGGCCTATCCCAAGCTGGGTTTAAAGCTCATCTTTCGGTGTCGAACTCACATCTCATTTGAAGCCCCCAGCGTTGTTTTTCATCCAGAATATGTGTGAGATGATTTGCTGTGCGGCTGCAGTGTGACAAGGTATGTGGAAAACACGTGTATCCTGACGGAGAGCAGCACCGTTGCTAGTAGCACAACGAATGGTCCGGTCCAGTGCAAAATAGTTACTGATTTTTGTCACATCGGGAGCCAATAGGCCGCAAATATCGGGTATCAATTTTTTTGGCTGTTTCTGTTTGGACACCAGGCGAATAAGGCATCAACTTCCATGACTTCAAGGCCGTCCGACGTGCTCGGGAGCTGCGATTACCGGGTTCATCCGTCTTGCGGTAAAGCTGTTGGCGGTTCTTCGTCCATGGGTGCTCGATCAAGGCAATCGACAAGGAATGGTGCCTCAATCTGTTTAATTTGCTCCGCTGGACTGCACTGTAGCATTTCCTCCGCTGAGTCCATAATTACTGTCGGGCGCATATTACCAAATCTCCTCTGACGCCATTCTTCAAAAGTCATAACTGACTCTGTCGGCTGATGCTGAAGGAACCCCGTCTCCTCAAAAGAGCACTGCTTCACCTCAGCCGGGCAGTTGGATGCTGAGAGCTCCAGGTTTAGTGGCACGCTGTACAGCTGCTCAAGAATTGTGCCGTCAGGGTGCCTGCAGACCGCAACCGTCTGTGAAATGCGACCATAAGCAACGCAGAGCCAATTTACCACCGAAAGTGGCATATGACGCTTCAGAGCAACACTGCATCCGCAGTTCGGAAAATCTAAAGTTATGATTTCTACAGTCGTCAGGTCCGTTTAAGACGCACTCAGCACAAATTTTTGCCGAAGTGGCCGGCAACAGCCTTGTGCTACAGGGACTGTATTTTTAGGGGCTCTAACCTTAGGAAGTGCCTGTACAGAGTCTGCTGCTTGGTCTTTGGATGCACCGTAAAAATAGCGATGTACGTTGTCACAGCGTCTTCTTTTTTTCTTCCAGCAGTTTCCGTCGGTGTGGAACCACAGTCCAAGACTGCACGAAAAGTCAGACCGTTGTTCTGCCTCGGTAGTCCGTACAGGTGAGGACGTATGCAGCGTCTACTGTACTTTGTATGTTGACCGAGAGAGGTGACATATGGTCGGCAAATGGGAAAATAGTGACAAGTAATGGGGCTCAGGCTATAATGAGACTCCGACAACCCAAGTGAGCTGTTACTTTTTATTCGCGTGCTAATCTCAGCTAACGTGGCTTGTCGTTCGCTGCAACTTGGAACACGCTAACTTCACACCGGGTTACTGCATGCTGTAGTTTTATTGTTACAGGGAATTCCATATCGCCACTTGCCTCGGAGCTGGGTAACTTGCACTCGTCTGATTTCCCCATCAAGCCCCACAAACTGTTTTGCTGTGTAGCAGCATGCCTTCATATACCTCTCTGACACTTCAGTGTCGTTTGGAAAGCGGAACGCTGCTGAGTCTGATGTTAGTCTCCGATGGCAATCTAGAACACGGCCGTTGTGATGTATTGCCACGGCATAGTAATAAAGGAGCTGCAGGACAGGGCAAGTTTGAACCAGCAACATCAGTGCATTGTCCGCTCGTGGTTTGGCGTGCACACGATTGAGGATAGACGTGGCTGGGCTAGCGTACAGCAGTCGTCACAGGGCAGAAAGCGTGGCAGAGCTGCGGGATTGTCATTTTTTCGTACGACTGAACTCAATGCCATGAATGCAAGATCCATTAGGACAGTGAGAGCAACCCCTGTGGCGCCTGAAGCAAACTCTCGTTCAAGGCAGTTATAGAGAGCAAATGTCATCCCAGAATATTCACTCCCGCAAGCTTCAATGAGTGCCAGGAGGGCCGGCAAGATCAAGACCCAAATTCCAAGAGGGGCCATGAAACGGTATGCTGAACAAATAAGCCAAATGAGTACCTCAAAGTGCCCTCCTGCTGTACCTGCCGTGGTAGGACAACAGCAGGCAACTTGGCACAGTCCCTTCCCTAGTTTGAAGCGCACTTTTGCAACTCGCGTGGAGTGGGGAAGGGGGTCATCCGGAAGTTATTACCTGCATTCGGCAATCTTCCGACGAAGCAGTGGGCCAAGTGGGCTATAAGGCACAATGTTGCAAACACAAGGAGAGCAGCTACGAAGCCGCTGGCAGAATACAAGGCTGCTGGTCCAAGTGACAGCAATTCCTGCAGGTAGCAATGGCATCGCAAGAGATTTGGGCCGAATAGAGCCACTGTTTAACGGGTGCAAAGTTCAGCAAGAACTACACTATGACCAGCGCTGCACTGAAACTTTCTGTCACCACTCTAGTGCTCTGCAAATAAGAGAGCCCGAATCAGGTTTCGGTGCCGCAGCCGTTTAATAAGCAAAACTCACGTCTCAAGTGGCCGTTTACTGGGTGCAAATACTGGAAAATTCAATGCGGCTTTGAAGCTTCGAAAAACGCCCTACCTGGACATATCCGAATCGGATGTACAGGCCAGTAATTTCAGCACTGTAGACAGGAATATTACATGCCTTCAGAGTAACCCATGATCCAAACAGCGCGACAAAGACAGCGAACCACAAAGCTCCCAGAGCGAACAACAGGGCAGCCCCTGCCAAGCCTGAAGAGACACCATCAAACACCGACAATGTTGGTGCGCATGAACCAATGAAGTAGTTTGGTCATCAAGCAGTTGCCAACACGGCCCTTCTCCTTTCCCGCTGTCTTGCCCACTGATTTCCTTCATATCCGACGAAATAGAATATTCTTCGAAGAGCTCGGCCCAAATGTGCCGCAGCTTCCTTTCAGTTACGCCTCTGTGAAGCAACGTTTGCTCGGATATCACTGCAGAGTCAGCAAAATAGATGCAGATTCGTTTCGCAGCCTGCTTCCAACTACAAGGGTTTCTCATACGCGTTTTGGGGAAGCAACGTGTTACAATTGTCCCACGTGAATACTCGTATGAAGCTAGGTCTTGTTCTGTCACTCTTGAAAAGGGCTGCATTCCGTAGCTTAGTGCGCGATGACGTGCTTGCCGTTCCCCGTCCTGAAAATTTTGGCCTGGCATCAGAAATCAGTGAGCAGTAACGGCCTTTTTAGCGACCAAGAGAAGTATATATTTGCCAGTGCGATGGTAGAATTTCTCCCTGCTCAGGACCTTAAATATCCTCATTGTGCGCTAATTGCTCAAGAAATTGTCTTACCTTCGATAGTCTCCCTATTCATGAGCATGCTCCGCAAGATCTTCTGCGCAGAGGAACTATCTGCATTATTTAGCGCAATGTAGGGGCAGACAAGACTGGATTTCAAGGTGAGTTGACGAACGTATATGCTTGGTCCCTGACCTAGCTCTGGCAGAAGGAGATAGGGGCAAGTATGTTACCCGTGCTACTGCGGCTGTTTCGTATGCTCTGGCTGTTTCGAGCGGAGGACGAAAAGCGCATGTCGACTGGGAGAGGCAGTTCATCTGGGATGCTGAGCATTCGCGCAGTGTAATGGAGAGGGACTTCAAATTCCTGGATGCCATCTATCTCTTTCGGCATTCGAATGACGCGGAAGTAGAGATTGCAAAGCCACTTGTCTAGTCGTGTGCGTATCATATCTTCCATCTCAAGATATCGTTGAATAGAAGTGTCAACCTCTCCTAAAAACAAAGGAACCTGCGTTTGCGCAACAGGACCAATCAGAGGCTCTGAATCAAAGTGTCACAATCACTACAACCATTGCCGCCACACGCTATTGCACTGTTAATGACAGCACCGGTAACAAGCCTGTTCAGACGAATGGGAGCCAAAAGAGTTACGTCGCCAAGCGCACTTTGAAAGAACCTTCGACTATCCGCCAGTCTGGACCAACTAAAGGAAACGCCCCCCAAGCAACAACCTAAAATTTCAATTTCCTTCACAACACAGAAACTTCCTTGCAGCTTCAGCCTAGGAGGTATGCAGACGAAGGTGGCTGGTCTTCCACAAAAGCTCACAGTTGCTAACTGTCGTGAAAATTCTGTGTTGCTAACTGTCGTGAAAATTCTGTGTTCATATACCGGGTAGTTGTCTGCTGGATACGTATTTTGAATCGAGCGGAATAAGCTAGCAAACCATTTACATGCCATCACTGTGCAATTCAACAGGAGCTGCTCACCTTGTCTACAGGCGAGACTGCACCGCGCAACAGGTACAGCTGAAATACTAAGCACATGGACGGTTTAATGTCGGCTTCAGAGGGGCAGTTCAAATACAGTGTTTCGTCAAACCTGTGTGCAAGCCCCCGCAAACAGCAATCCTCCCGCTAGCCACTTTCACAGTGCTCCGACGTAATTTCCACCTCAAATTACTGCAAGTTCTCCAAGAGGCTTTTTGTGGCTCTCTTAGCAACTTTTGAGAAATATTTCACCAATACTTTTTCTTCCAGTCGATGGCTATAGGTTGCTCTTGCCGTCAAGTGGAGACTACTTGTATTCGAATTAATCAAGCGCAGTGTGGCGAAACTCTGCTGAGACGCAGTATAGGCTGGCTCGGGGGAGCTGGATCAACTACACCTGCAAGCTGTATGCTGCAGGTCTGCACAGGAGCTCTTATTAGAGCTGTGTTGTGTTTATGTGCCTTGTAGCAGAGGCTACTTTAATTTTCGGCGCTTATCCGGATCTGCAGTTCTGTATTTTCAGCCTCCAGTACACCATATCGTTTTCGGGTGTCTCCACTGAACCACCAAACTAACCTTAGGCATTCGCTGAAGTACATTGCCGCAAATGCCACAGGAGCAGACACAGCGCAGGACCCGGTTGCCAACGTGCATGGACTACTTCCAGGGGCAGCATTTTCTCCTGCGTTTTGTTTGGACTCTTCGGAAGAAGACAACTCTTTATTGAGACACTTCCACACTAACCGGTGGCCGCCTGAATGCAGAAGTACCAAAACACAAAGCTCTACAGTAGTGGTTCCCCTGGTGACATCGCAACTGGAAAAGCGGGGTCTTTCCGTCAATTGTGAAGGCCACTTCCAGCTTCCACAAAGTGGAAATTTTCGTATGCGCCTGTCTATGTAAGTCTTCAGGGATAGCGCGTTTCCTACCCAGTCGGTTCCACACCGATGCCATCATAACGTATTGCCCTCTGGGGACGCTGTCCTTTACAGCCCGACATAAGTCAAGGCGCAGCCGCAGCGTCTGTGGCATTATCTTCCAGTTGGGTCCCTCAGAGCCTCCTTCGCAAACAGAAAAGATATTTAATTGCTCATTACTTGCTGGATTAGCAGACCAATCTCTTGTTGATGCTGCTGTCATTTTGAAAGGGTTTTTACCCTACGTTCTAAGCCCAGGGCAGCATTGGCTGCCCGAGGAATCTTCCCCTTAAGGGAGTAATTTGTTGTGTTGTAATCTCGTCTTAGAAAACCGTACGACTGCAGCAGCTCCAGCTGGCGGTGCTGTAATATAGCTTCCAAACGCAGCTGGAAGGACTGCAGTGTTTGTAACATCTCCGCCTGCACAGTTGATCCTCCTACTTGCAACAATAGTGAAGGTTGAGGAAAATGAGTAATTCATTCATGGGGTTTGCGCCAGGGTGAATTGGAAGCTGGCGAGGCAGAATTTACCTCTCTTTCATCATGTTCTCGAGCAGCCACCTTCCTGGCTTCTTTGAACTCAGCTTGCTTATTCTTCACCTGCTGTACAACCCTGTCACGTATCATTTGAGCCTCCTGACGCAGTCGGTCGGCTTGTGATTGCAGGCGTTCTTCCTGTTTCTTATGCACTTCCCCTGCTTCTGTAACCCGACGGTTCTGTTCTTCAGGAATGCCTTCTGCGAAACCAACTACCACCTCTTCGCTCGTCAACGCTTCCTAAACACCAGAAGAAGGAGCTGAAGTAGTGTTCCTATTGCGCAACTGGGCCTAAGGCGAAGTGTACAGTGGATAACTAACTAGAGGAAGCTCCAGTTTAAATTGCTTGCAAAACGTTTTCGTCTTTATTGAACAGCTCTTCCGAACCTCAAGAGCCTGAAAGGCCTTTTTCGTCGAGATATTCTGGCGTACAATCGCAACAGTTCTAAGGGACTCGATGCGCTGCAACCTGTCAGCGCGTTCCTCTGCATTGAACACGGCACCGAGCACAAGGATTGAACGCAGCAAATGTGATGAAGAAAAACAGTTTGTCAAAGTGCACGCGGACGCGCCTTCAGAAGGTGGCATATTAAATGTTCTTGAACTTTGCAGAACGTCGGCAAAGATATTAAGTGCACTATTGTACTTTCTAAGACTTCCGCCTCGATTTCATCATCTCCAAAAACAAAGCACTTCTCAACCTCTTCGAGTTCCTGGGAATCTCCGGGCATTGAGGATGATGCAACACCAGGCGTTTGCTGCTGTTCACCAGAACGTCGTAAGCATCACAATACACCGGCAACCACTTATTTGGCATGAAGCGAATATTGTACACTTCGCATATTTAGATGCCCCGACCCACGTTTTACCTGCAGTGCACAGAGGCTCTGAAGGGCCGTGGCTGTCTTTGCATCGAACAAAATCTCCGTTGCTCTCTTCATCGTCGTCTCCTTGAAGGCGGCACCGCTCTCAGTGCTTGTGTCGACGGGCGGGTGAGTGCCATGCGATTTTTTTGAGCGTTTCGGTGTTTTTGCCTTGCGAGTATGCCGGGAGGCTCCAGCCCCGGTCCCTGTGGGGGTGCCCTCCTCAACGCCACCGCTGTTACGTTCTGCTTGGGCGGCTTCTTCTGCTTGAGGCTTCATTGGAAGACTTTGGTCCTGCTGTTGAGTGATATCTCCAGTCTGATCCTCATCTGGAGCGTTTTCACCCTGCAGAGGGTCCGGAAGTTGGCTCTCCTTGCCACGTGAGGGCATTTGGAGAGGAATACCTTGCCCCTGTTCATCATGCCACTGTTGCAGCTCTGGCTCGTGTTCTTGTGTATTGCCGCTTGCGCCAGGAACACGGTGATCCTCCACTTGCATTTGCACCTCCCCTGGTTGTTGTCTCTCCTCCTGGAACTGACTCTCATCGGAGTTCTGCCTATCATCTTGCTCCCTTGACCCATTGTTCGTAAATTCACTCTGCTGAGCATCCTCTCCACAGTGAATTTGTTGAATTTGTTCCTGATTGTGCTCAGCCAATTCCTCCTCCACAGGCCTTTGGGGCTCACTTGGGGCCGTGCCTGTCCCCAAATTTGTCTCTGACTGCTGTTCCGCCAGTGGCAGTTGCTGTTCATTGAGTTCAACCTGATGGCCCTCTCCTGCATGTATATTGCTCCTACACACTTCCTCATCTTCATTAATGGGAGCTGAACTGTCAATATTGCCACTATGCTGACTTTGCAACAACTCGGTCCCATCCTCTTCGGTGTTTGAACGTGGGTGATCAGTAGATTGCTGTCTGTCGGCTACGTCATCCGTTCGATCCCTCTCTGAGTGTTGTTCGTCCTCTGCGTGCAGTTGCCTTCGCTGCAGAGTTTCAGAGGCACTACTGCTAAGACCATCTGGTAGGCCCTCCTCCTGCCATATTGAAAACCGAACAGCACTTGGATGCACACAATTGGCACGCTTGCAGTGCCGTCTGCACGCAGGGTCAGTTGAAGGGACGCCTGCATTCAACTGCTAGTAATCTCAGTGCGAACGCTAGACTTGGCAGTACCAGAAAAGAAGGAAATCATAGGAAGCGAGGGACCTACATGTTGTCCTGTAGGAGGATCTGTTTCCGAGTCCCCTGGAAGGGTGACTTGCGAACCAGTGGTGGGATCCATCGAAACCAGCTTCACTTCGGCACCGAACCTGGAGAAAAGTGCTGCACTTCCACTTCACCGGCCCTTCTTGCGATAGTCTCTAAAAGCATACTCCGCTGATAGACAACTTTATTTTACTGCTATGTTACGGAACGCCCGTGGTCGTGACCCGTTGTTGCCCTGCAGGGCATTGCCTCTGAAGACAGGATCTACCTGTCACCTACTTTCAATGTGTTTTTGACAGAAAATATATTATGTAGTCTTTTGGGTTTGTTAATTGCCTACCATACAACCAACTCTAATCACTGACGAACGTAGTGTGTGTAGGCGGTGTGTGTCACCGCAGTGACCTCGCTAGCCCCCCTCACAGAACGCATGTGGGATGGATTTTTTGGGCACCGCAACATATAAACGATCTGTTGAGCACATGCTCCCAAGTGATATGGCCTTGAAATGCAAAAATAAGTGCAATTCGAGGCACAACCCGGGACACATTCAGCTAGGCGTATGGGATCCGCTGTTCTAGAGCGAGCTTGCCCTTGGAGAACGCCCCCGAAGTACTTTTATTTCGACAGTTTTTGAATTTGAGTGGCCGAAAATATCAGACCCTATGCCCTTAGCGGTAGAGGAAGAGCAGTTACCCGGCAGGGCTTCTCGTAGCCTGTAGTGCCGTGCTGTTGTTTACGAATGTATGCTCCCGGATATCTACTCAATGACCGCATAACGTTTGAACCAAAATGTCTCAGAATAGAGTAGCAGCTGTGCACGAGTGAGTTTAAGTGGCGCTATGGCTTATTCATCAAGCACCGGTGAAGTCAACTCCCTGTATGCACAGTTTGTCCGAAGTTGGCATCGCTGGCTGCTAAGTTCGGCCTTAGCATGCATCAAGCACAGAAATACTCTGCGGCCTTCAACAATTGCGTACTGTGTTAGCCCCTGCAGGTTCCTTTACACGCAACTGTATGCAGCCAATAGCGTTCGGTTGTCCTTGCATGTGGGGCTGTCTTGCAGCAGGAGTTACAGCCAGGTGCGTCGCTGCTGATGGCATAGAGTCTCCCCTCCCGCAGATCCAGGCACTTGGGCTGTTGCACGCAGGACGCCTAGAGTATGGGAGGGCGGCTGCTTTGAGGGCACTCTACTGTGATTTCGCCTTCACTGCACTTGAGGCGTCTGGACCCCAGAGTTTGTTAAGCCGAAACGCAAATATGCGCACGTCTAGTTGCTTACGTTCAGCAAATGTGAGTTTTCCGAAGTGAAGGAAGAATAGGATAATTGGCAGAGATTCACAATGAGCATTAGCAGCACCAGTGTCCGCAAATGAACTATGCAGGGGCATGCGTGACATGCAAGCACTTCGTGAACCTCTGCCAATTTCCCCAGTCACCGGCGTTAAGTCTTCCCAGGCTCGTAGCATATTTATTAGAATGCTTGAGTCTGTCACACGCATGCTAAGTGCTCTTAGTTATCAAGGCTAGAAAGAACAACTAAACCCAACATATGAGCACAAAAGCACCATCGTAAAAGATACAGCATCCGAAATATTTCCTTCCTTGCATTTGTGTAGGAAATTATTTGTTAAAGGCATTCCTTATCGGCCATTTATGCCAGTTTTCCAAAATGGATGCTTGGACGTTAGGGTCAGCAGAATCGGCGGCAAACAGTAAGCGTTTGTGTGACTAAACCCGATGCAGAAAAGACTTCAAGGCAGCGTATTAATATTGGCGTAACTCAGATACATCTGTCTTCACCTGTTATGCACAAAACAATCGCGGATATGGGTACGTTTGCACTGGCACTAAAACGGGGAACATGTTCCCCTTCTGCATCAGGCAGTTCGCAACTACATTATCAAACTGCCCCGGAATTCTGGAGGGGACATGCTGTCCGAGAGTAGCCAGTGGAATGTCTAAGAAGGTAAAATGCAATATAGGCTAGTGGGTCATCTGGCCGGTCTCTAATTACAGCTTCTAGAGCAGGATACAATACAGGCACTACTGTTTCCATGAGGTAGACCACATCTGATAAGGGCTGAGCCGTATTTTTCCCGGTGGGTAATGTTTGGCTTCCTATGATGCCAGAAAGTCCCTGGAAGGGGTTCCCGCGGTCGCTGATGGCATCCTGGTTTATGCTTTCTTCCGAGGACCCTTTGTACTCCTCATGCAGTGTCGGAATCTTATTATCAGCTACTTCCTCCTTAGAGCAGAGCTGGTTGGGTGTTGAAAGTTGCAGGCGTTTTTTCTCAGAGTTTGCCAGTGCTGCAACTAGGCAGTCGGAGCTTGCCAGGAAATCCCACTGACTGGGAGCGATGTGGCATGCAACAATTCCGCATTCAATTCGCCCTTTCCTGCACACGCTACCACTGGATGGTAACGTTTCTGGATTGCAAACTTCCATCCCCTCGTTCTCCAGCCCTGAAATGGGTTGTAGCTTAATAAGTTGCTGGCTCAAAATATCAACCGGCGAGAGGGTGTGGAGAAACACAATGCCGTCGACAACCGTTTGAACTCCGGGGGAAGAGAGACAGACGTGAAAACGTGTCAAGTCTTGTCCATCTACCAAGATCGTTAGCGGACTAGTGTATGAGAGATTGTCCTGCGCCTCCAGCGTTTTGGCACCCGCTGTTACCCAATCATTTGTGCTGTCCGTTCGCGCTGAGGATTCTTCCACTGTGAATGAGCGGTCGGAATCCCCTGCAACGCTTTCCAGTTGATGGCCTTCAGCGCTTGAGCACGGAAAATCCATCGGCCTGTGGACGATGCACAGCGCTTTATGTTCTTCTAGTTCCTGGTAAACGAGACCAGCAAATACTTCATCAATACCTTTGTAGCATCTCTTTGCAGCGGGCATAACTAGGGTATGTGGCAGCTGCGCAGTGAAGCAGTGCTGCTCGCATTTGCCATCACTCGCAGTTTGCATTGTGGACACGCTCATTACTCCCATGGCATGGTCGGAAATCCGCAGGTCAGGGCTACCATGGGTGCCATCCAGAAACACCTGCAGTATGCCGTAGAGGCACAATGAGCAAGACCCAAGTGTTTAGTCTATTCCACACTGGGCCCCGTAGCCCAATCCTGGTACCCCTTAGTGCATCAGTAGTTGCAAAGTAAGAATACATGGCCCAGCCCGCTCTTCTTTCTATACCTGCTTTGTTCGGTTTTCTCCATCGAAGGCTGGGTGCTTGCCTTCGCACAACGAGTTGAATTCCCGGAGAAATGCTTTAAGAACTGGGCTGCTTGAAGAACGGCGAGTGTGAAATACAAGGCGAAACGCTCTACGTGCCCTGACCAAGCTAAAAAGCAAGCTTAGAAAGCTGGGAGCTATGCTCCAGTAGCCGCGATGAAGCTGTAAGGGCAGTGTAGACGGACACTTTAGAATAGGGGCTCCATCTTCTCCATGACAGGCCTCAAGGGGATCACTACCTGTAGATCCCGAATCAAGTTTCTGAACAGTCAATAGAGACTGCTTAACAGTCGTATTATAAAGGTGTTTCTGAGGCCTCTGCTTACACGCTCTCGCCTAGTCAGCGGTAGTGGTAGACAGAACAGGCTGAACCGTTGCTGAACCACAGTGATTGTTAAGTGTTGCTCACTTACGGCCTCAGCTTCGCAGCCCAGTACCCTATTCAGGTCAGGTGCTTCACATCCCAAAGCCATGCAGACGGTTGGTGGGAGCATAAAGCGTCTCAGAAGGGAGCGATGACGTTCACGGAGAGCCCCTATAGCAGATTCTAGTTGATCAGAACTTGTTTTAGGATTACCAGCCTTCCGCGTCTTCCGTTTCACTTTCGCACAGTTTCCAAAAGCCTGCAGCTGCTGCTCTAGTTCTTCCACCTGCTCAACATCATTCAGAAAGCACCAACACCTTCATTTTTGGGTGTTTCGGCTCCATTGTCAGCCCAGCTGTTCGAAATGAGACAATGGGGACACTAGGTTAATGTTGCTTTGCCGTTGACAGGAGACTGCAGGGACCACAGGGCTATAATAAACAAAAAAGGGACTTGCATCTGCGGATTGTTTGGCAGAATTTTTGTAACGAAGGCGCAAGTATTCGCCAAAGGATAAGCATCCCTCCACCGCTTCTGCATCCTCATCCCTCTGAAAAAAATAGCAAACAGCCGCCAATGCGGCAACAGCGAGTGGTGCATCCGGCGCCCAACCTGCATATTAGAGCTTATCTCAATGCATTGCTAGACAAAAGCTACATTGACTACTCTGAAAGCTGTGTATGTCTGAGACACCTACAGGGAACCACTCCCCAGACGCTGAATTTACTGTCCCCCACGTTGCTTCGGCCAAAATATGAGAAGCGAACCGAGTGACAGGCGCACCAAGGAAAACCCCTCTTTTTGCACTTTCAGAGTCTCTAGCGTACCTCGTCGATACTGTCACAGCATTATCGATGTCTACATGGAGAACTATAAGGGGAATCTGTTCCTGGGGGGTCAAAGGGTGCTCAGTAGACGAAGGGCTTGCCCCCTGAGAGGGTTGTTGGGGATTTCGGCTATGCTCCATTTACTTAAGCTTTGTCATATGGGCAGGGGAATGATTATGGGTAATGTCGATACTGCGTTGACTGCGTGGCTGCTCCAGCATAGACAGTCTAGTTCCTTCACCTTATTTGCTTCCCGTTGACAAATACTTCTTGTATATATTAATTTTCATATGCAGAGCGCACTTCTGGTGCCTTTCTCCTTTAGTCATTTTACAGCGCCAAGGACGATCAGGATGGGAGTGTTTGCTTATTGCGCGTTGTGGGGCTTTGAGGGGCTGCATGCGCTTTCACCTAGCCACTATCTGGCGATTGGAATTTTGCGCAACATCAAGGATTTTCAGCAACGGCGAATGCATTCGGTCCTACGTTTATCTTTTCCTACATCACAGTAGCGCATATTTGGTGAAGATGGTGGAAGGTAAGCCGAGGGCATTACAGGTTGCCATTAGCCAAATAACAAAGCAACTGGTGGGACGGACTATGCCAGCTCGCTTGCAGTGATGAGTGTAAATTCTGGTAACATCCCCGGAGGGTGTAAAGGTGCATCAAATGACTATTGCATGTATTACATTCCCGGGTGCCAGGTGCACCGGCTTGTACGTCTTACACTGTGCTGTGGCACAAACACAAGCGGTCGTTATGCTTACAGTTGTCTCCGGTGTCTCGTAAGTAAATGGACTAAATATATTGTGTGTCTTGCGGTAGAGGCAATTTGTGACGACCCCAGAGTCAGTCAAATATCGGCACTCAGCTTGCACAAGGATGCCATTTCGTTGCAGTTAAGTACTCCACACTACCCTGGCGCAATCCATCCTTTTCTACAGCATTTCCTTGCTGTGAAGAATAGCTGTTGGTGGCAAGGGAATGCAGCGAAGGAGCAGGTGCATCCCTCAGCTAGGAGACGACCACCTCGCTTTAAAATGTGGTGCACTCATTGAAGCTTAGTTTCACGGTGGCCACGCTTCCAGCTTAGTATAATGGCGTCACTATCTCTGCTTAGCGCCAACAGTGTGTTTAAGTGGCGGCAAATGCCATGTCATGCCAATATACTGTGGCAAAGGGTCTTCAAGTAATGGGAAGCGCGTATACCACTACATATCATGCCAATCCATTGCGGCAAGTACACCACCACATTTTCCACACATAAGCATACAAACAAGCACCCGTGTTTGGCGGATAGGGCGAAATGCAAGGTTCACTCTTTGTATGCCTGAGCTTAAAAAAAAGTGTGATTGTAGATACGCGATTGCCGCTACGCTTGAGGGCGAGCCGAACTGTTCTACCCCTAACCCAACTGCAGGTTAGGGAGATTCAACTAGGTTGGGTGGTTCTTGGCGGGTAGGGCGAAATACAAGGTAGCTGCCTCAACTATGGAAACCGTGCAACGTTCCGGTTTAGCACACATGCCTGTGCTCCAAGGGCATATTTTAACATATCGAAGCTGCTGCAAGCAATCCATCACCGCACTGTGTAGCAACAGCAAACCCACTTCCGAGACGCAAATTAGAGTTTGATGGGTGGAGTTGGTTCATATTTGCTTGGGTGCATGGGAAATCTTGATGCTAGTAGGAAAGGCAGAGTACCCCTAACCAACTGATTGACGTCAAGGAGGCAACCGCAACGACCCCCTTTATGAAGACGTTCCATCAAGGTGGAGAGGCAAATGGGGTGGTCCACATTCTGCTTAATCGTTTTCGAAGAAAAGCTAGAGTTACCTTGACAAGGCTCTCTCATGATGAAGAGGGGTCAATGCATTTAAGGGGCTTCCAGGGCACCGTCAGTCGTGAAGTGTGCAGTTCGTAGTCTAAATATCCTCTGCTGTAGTTTGTTGAAAGCTGTATGCCGGAAAACTGTGCGTTGTAGGTGGCTGGGGGTGGTTTATTGTGCTGCTTTCACCACTCGCTTTCAGTCCCACACCGCATGTGGACCACGAAATAATTCGGCGTCGTGTGTCTCCTCAATGTGAGTTGCAAACTGATTTAAATTGCAAATAGTATTTAGGACAACCTACAAAATCCCAAGGTGTGTTGGTACAGCTAGATGGAAACCGATGCGACGGGTGAACGCATGCACGCCGTCCTGTAGAACTGCAGCTTTGCAAGATCATATGCATGGAGCGCCTGCACACTTAAGGAAAGACCAGTCCATTGGTTTGTCTAGCAAATATGAGCGTTAGTAGCTATGTTATGGGAGCCGTTTTATGTAGACTCTTAGGTGATTGTCACCCTTGCTTCCCACACCGGAATCACGGAGCGAAGGGATTACCGGCTTTATTGCCTCCTTTTCATCGCAGTGATATGAAGCACGGGGCGAATGCGAATGAGCTACAAAGTTAAATATGTATATATAAGGGGATTTTCTGCTTTTGTCCCGTTTCCATCGCCTGTGTTGGGAGCTGTCTCTCGATGCTCGCCGTTTACGTACGGCACGGTGTGCCCCGTGTTGTTGCCACTGCAGTAGTTGTCCAGCAATGCACATACATCATTGAAGTTAGAGGAAGGCATTTCCGCGTTCCTGTCCATCATTTCCCTATAACACGGCATCTCGTTATCTGCGCCTAACCGCATCCAGCCCGACCTCATCTGTTTCCTATAGGCTAACCTGAGCATAACAGAACTGCGAGGGTAAATATATCAGTCTCCTCGTTCAACTAGTAGGTCATCATATTCACCGGGTGGAGAAAACCAAAGGGACGTGGCAAGCCGAAGGAATCTCAACTGAATAGCCACCTTGGAGCATGGACTGATACAGCTAACCCGCAGCCGTCGAAGTGGAACGAGGGAAACACAAGTAATCGGGCCAGCAACGAAATGAAGATTCACTCCCAAGGGCACGATGGAGTGCAGCACATAACACCCCACGAATGGGGATCCACAGTTCGGATTCGTTCGTTCCATGTGGAATTCCCAGAAGATGAGGAGACGCCCGTAACACATACTTTGTCTTTCCAAAGGGACTTCGTCCGAAGGGATGGAGGGCTTAACCTTGAACATCGTTTCCGACGATCTGGTGGATATGTTGAATTCCTCATTAACGACAGATTTCACGCAATCCTTGCCCTCCGCTGGCTGCCGCTGGTCGCCCTCGTTTTCATCACGGTGGTCATGTGCGCTGCAGTTCTATCGCGTTAGTAATTCTATCTTGTTTACGTATTAGCCTTCCTCTTTAGACCCATCTTCAAGGCTGGAGCATGTTTGCAAGACACCTCTGTGAACTAGATGTCTTGTCCCTGTTCTGTGAGGATGTTTCGGATTTCTTTTGCAGAACGGGCATTGAGGTGTCTGTGTAAATGTGTGGTTTATTTGGGGCCCCTTTGCAGTAATTTTGTTCGTTGCCACTGGAGCGAATGCACGCGAGTGTCTGGGAAATTCGAGTTCTGCCTGGGACTACTTCTTCTTCGTCGTCGAAACAATGTTCGCAATCGGCTATGGAAGTCCCAGGTACTTTACACGAGATGTACCCCGGTTGGGCAGGCAATAGTATATAGGCCAAAGCGTTCGTTAGCATATGTAGACACATTTTCTTATTGGATCTGTTGCTGTATGTCAGATTTCATTATGCCAATTCGGCTTGTTGCTATCTCCCAGGTACCCTTCATGCCGTGTCTCCAGCTTTATGGTTACCCCGATCGTGGTTACGGGTGTGCTCCTGAATTCACTGATTCTGGGACTTGTTTTCCAGAAGTTTTCGTCAGCGGCAAGGAGAAAATGGGCCCTAGCATTTACCCAGCGACTTGTGGTCACAACTGGGTAAGGGTCGGTACAAAGAACTCTAAGCATTTTGCCTTCCTATCCTGCTTAACAGTAAGAACTTGTAGGTGATTGTGTTTACCGCATCTTGCGGCCGTCGGCTTGTTCGACGTCTACTGCAGCACTTGAAAAGTTGCCTTTCACGAGTTTCATGTTGTGTGCATCTCCCCAAGCAAATGCAGTTCGGTACACCAGGCCTCGCCGTCAAACAACACCTTTGTCAACGAGGGCACTTCACCCACATCAAGCCACCACCGTACGGCATCGGGTAGTTCCATGCACTACCCCTCAGGATCGCCCAGTGCTCCATTGCACGAGCCTTTGCTCGTAGGCATACCTGAAGAAGAGTGTAAGAATTCCCCAGGAAAAGCTGCAGATTGCACGTTGCAGGCTGCATTGCCCTAATTTCAGGCCTGCTGCCTAATGTTCAAGTTCAATTTGTGGTGTGGCAGCTATATACAACTTCTTGCTTTTCAATGTTCAAGCTCACTTTGTGGTGTGGCGGCTGTATACAGCGTCTTCGCCAAACGCAAGTGAAGGACATGCATCAGAGAGCAGCGTGGACAAAGATACGCAGCAATACCAGCGAAATATCTCCAGTCATACTTACTTGGCGCGGCCGTCGAGTGATTCAATGCTTATTAAGAGCAACGAAGACGGCTCCAAAAGCAACTTGCATGGTCAGGCGACTACTGTTTAAAATTAGAACGGTTCATTTTTGCAGTTGCCTCCGGCATACAAACCATTTGTGAGTTTGTTTGGCGAGCGCGCTTGCAGAGTCAGGGGAGGACGGTCTACGGATATCATTTCGGATGCTGAACATTACGGAGACCTCATTTTTCAATACGAAGCTCGCGCTGTTTTTTTTGGTAACCAAATTAACTGCACCTTTCTTCGTTGTTTGTGGGGTTTGTCCTGTTGTCTGCTTAGCATGGCTCATATTGGTAGATTGTTCAGTATGGCCCCTGTTTAAGGTATGACTGGAATGTCAATATGCTACATTTAGGTACATCGCCGCGGGGGGCTTTCTATTCGACAATTTTCTATGTTCCACACGGACACACCACTGGAGTTCATGGCGTTACCAATCACTGTCACAGTGAGCCCAACACAGTCGGTGCAGTCTAAAAGCGACGGTGCTGTCAGAATTCTTCACCCGCATTGTATGGCTCACGTCGCGCCTATCTGGTGTGAATGCACGAAATGGGGAGTTGACAATATAACTTAATCAACAACAGGAACCATAAAATGCCGGTGAATAGTTCATTTTGTTGAGCGCAGGTTGACCAACGCGACGTTGGAAGTCCTCTGAGAGATATTACGGAGGCTGATCTGCGCAATCATGGAGAATGCTACGAGCTTCTTGCTCTGCTTTCCTTCACGGATAACAGGACATCTCGCACTGTCGAAGTCAGCCGGAGGTACGTGTGCCACTCCCAATGGGATAGACGTGACGGAGCACCCTCTGCAAAGAGCCTAGCATGCAGTCCGAAATCCTCATACGCCTCTTGGCCACTGCCACTTTGCTTTATGCATATGCAACAGCTGGAGGCTGAATACTGCGGTTTGGGACGAGAACTTCGTCCCCATAGTGCGTCAATCCGGACCAGGTTCTTCTCGTAAGCTGTTTTCATATTTTCGTCTTGCATGCGGTACCGTGTTGATCGGTCGCTCCAGTTGAATTTACTTTGCGGATTCCATACGCCGGCCACTAGTCTTTTTACTGCAGTCTTTTCACTGTGGCAATAGTACTAGACACGGCAATTCACCTTCCGTGAAAGGCAGCAGTTATGTTGTTTGGGGCAGGTACTTGTACGAGTCCACAAGTACAGGCTTCAGATTTTTAATCCTATCCGAAGCAAGATTGAATGATGACTTCCTTGTGTTTTTGCTCGTTTACTCGCAGGTGCATTTGAAATTGACGTTGACAACTTGAGCACCACGCGTGTATGCAATCGTCCTATCTTCTAACACCTCAAAGTGGTCGTTTGGCAAGGGACATGTTATTGATAGCGATAAATAACACAGCGAGCGAGCTGTGCCTGTTCTACTTGAGTTTTTGCGCGGGGTGTTTGACGCAGGCGCCGATCGTGGATTGACGAGCGTTATCTGTGGAGTAAATCTGGGCACATCCTTTCATCCAATCCGCTGAAGGCAAATGCCAATACATAGCAAACATGACACTTCGGCTATGTGGGTGTTGCCAGCATTCACCGTCTCAAGGGGATGTTCGCTTGCGCGTATGGCATGCGAACAGGGATTCCTATGCACGGGTTTTGTCCTCATTTGTGTGACCTTCCGTGGTGTAAATTTGCGGCCTTTCCAGGGTACGGCTATACTTGCACATTGCCACGAGAAATACACGACCATCTAACGAACAACTCGTTCAACGCGCAGTGTAGGACTTTCTCTGCAGCTCATTGGGCACAAACGCACACCAACCTTTTGTGGCAAATGCTATTTTGCGGTTAGCTCAAGTGCGCTAGCAACGACCAATGAAACAAAGCGGTGGTGTCCTGCTGGTTAATCAAGTGCAATAGCTTCTAACACTCAAACAGTAGAACACCCATCCAACACCAACCAAAATGAAATGCCTGATGTTAGATAATTACGCAATAACGCAACCATATACTGCAGTAGAGCGCAAATCGAGAGAGTAACAGTTTGGGAGTCACTGGAATATGATTATGTCAGTGCCCGGCTACGGATACAGGGACAGAACGTGCAAGCTTGCATTGCGGGCTGTCGAGCATCATCAGCCCCAAAGTACTTTGTAGGGGTTACCGCTAAGTGCCACCTACAAAATGGGGAAATTATTACGTATGCATGCTTATGCATATCTATAAGCTACATTTAGTACGCCTGCGTAGCTATTGTTTTTTCAGCTGTGCAGTGAGTTATTGTTTACTCCACTCCAAACACGGATACGGGCCAACGCCGCTGGCTGCACTACTGTATTTAGGCAGCCTGGATGGCCTCCACTTAACCTACTGTTTAACGCACCTCTGCGTGGCAACCTGGGCTAGCAGCCTAACCAGTTTCACGACAGCACCTGAACCTGAGCAATTGAGCCGAATTACAGGAGGGTTAGGGGGCTGGGGGCTAGGTGGGCATTAGATGTAGTCTAACGCGCATCGCCTTCTTCGTCAGTGGCTTCAAGTATCTGTTTATTCGATTTTGTATGCATGCATGTGATATACCAACCTCTACAACTGAATGTTTTGGGTCGCCCTGCACTGCAGATGGATATCGTAGTTAGGACAATGTGTTCGTGCTTCTGTACGCTAGTATATTGAACTCTCTGTATATTTGATTGCGCATACCTGCTACAGGAGATTTCCCGTCGCTCTTTCTACAACTGAATATTGGTAGGCGCCTACAGTACAGAGCGAGTCTTAGGCAAATATATGCATTCTGAGTTCGTTCTAGCCATTAGCGGGAAAGAACGAGCCTGAAGTCTTACTAAACGAGTGGAACTAGCATTTCAAGGTACTTGTGTATTAGCGTTGCACCTGGAAATGCAGCCATAGATGCTCAGAAAATAGTAGATTGCGCTAATTCCTATAGATTCATTAGGCTCTGCGCTGCTGCCCTCACAAAGCGTCATGGAGAGGTTCAACTTAACTGCTGCCTGCTTATGTGCAGGTTAGGATATCTGAAGTCGCAACGAGCGGTGTCTACAGGTGCCAAGCGGTCTTCTCAATATCAGTTTTCCGAGTCATGGAGGGGATGGTCCGTCGTTCAGCAGGACTGGTTCGCTCGCCGGGTTGTACTCGCCACTGCTTTCCATCTTGATGCATTCATTTCGAAGCCACGGATGAGTGGCTTCGCAATGAATGCACCAAGATGGTAGGCGGTGCACTCACCCACAACTCACCCTGCTGTCAAGCAAAGACAAATAAGACGAGGCAGAAGAGCTGCGCAACGCTTAATTATGCAACGAGAGTCCCCAGCAGCAGATGAGATTGTGATGTACAAACAAAAAGTCGTCTAGCTAAGAGTTACCGGTAGCACCTTACCCCCTGACACTCACGACGCGCTCTCATCGCAATCGCACAAGTGTCTAGCTTTGCTATACAGACCGGCCGGCATATCTTCAGATACGACGAAGGTTGATGTAATTGCAGCGTAGGTTCTTGTAGGCATTCGCTTGTGGGCAGGTTGCTTGATAAAGGTACACAAATAACCTGTACGTCTTCTTCCCTTCCCTAGCCACCGTATAACTGGGGATGGCCAACAGAAAAGTTTCGGGAACTCCTAGCATACAATCAAACGACACAAACAGGCAGGAAGTGTCTGCCACTGTGACCCTGCCACTGTTACCTGTCTGCCTCTGCTACCTATTTGTGCTACTGGCGTTGAGACACCTGGTAAAAGCCGAAGTGTCTCAACCTTTTGGGGGGGGG